CGAGCAATAGTATTTTTAGTTGTAACATGAAAATCACTTCGCACTTGGACTGGTAATGAAACAGACTCGATATTTTCACAAACAAATCTACAATAAAAATACTTCATTAAAAAAATCTGATTTTTATGTACGAAAGACTTGTAATCTTTACTAAAAGTCTACCAAATTTTGTGAAGATTCACTCACTGCATTAAAAGTTATAGTATAGATATTTAACGTGTGTGTATATAATACCAAGCCCATCACGAAAGGATTGAGTAAGATAAAAGAGACACAAACATAAGACTTAAGTGTGTATTTCAATATTGGTAGTGCTTTTGCAACATTATAGCTGCTCCTCAGCCAACAGAGAACCAATTTTGAATTATAATATTAACACAGCTTTTGGCCCGGCATGGCCAGGTGGTTAGGGCGCTCAACTCGCAATCTGAGAGTCGCGGGTTCGAATCCCCGTCCCACCAAACATGCTCACCATTTTAGCAGTGGGTGCATTATGATGTAACGGTCAATCTCAATATTCGTTGTTAAAAGAGTCATCCAAGGGTTGGCGGTGGGTGGTGATGACTAGCTGCCTTCCCTCTAGTCTTACACTGCTAAATTAGGGACAGCTAGCGCAGATAGCCCTCATGTAGCTTTCCACGAAATTCAAAACAAACACAGCTTTCTATCAACATTTCACTTTTTTCAAATACCAACAAAGTAAATACTATGTTAAGGCAATAGTTCAAAAATTATTTCATTGTTGACTGAGAGGCTAATGTAATGTTATGAAGATACTACAAATACTAAAAATAAACTTAATTTTAAGATTGTGTCTTTTCATTTGATTATCTCGCAGGAAAGATGTGTACCTGTAGATAAAACACTTTAAATTTTTGAAACTTTTAAAAACACATTGACAGTCAGTTAACCGAAATGTGTGAGTGGAGGGTTCTTTTTTTTAGTGTTTCTTCACAAGCCACGTTATTCATGCTTCAGTAATACTCAGTTAACCCTTTGTGCACAGGCTTGGTTGAGCCACTAGATAAAGTCTGTATTGAAAACACATTTAGCAAAATTAGAATTGTAAGATGTGTTATGAAATGCATTAAGCTTTTGGTAAACATTACAAGTACATTATTCCTATTAAACATTAGTCTCTGAATTTATCTTAGATAACTGACTCACATTCTAACTAGTGTAAGTACAAGGTGATTTTTTTATGTAAAGAATAAAAATACTTTTTTAATCTTACAGTTTTTATATTTCATTGACATAATATTCAGAACTTTGTGTATGTATATGAAACATTCTTTCAGTGAAACTATATTTTATAGCTGTTATTTTTCTTTACGCTAACACTTTAAAAGCTCAGTCGATTTGACCGACCTTGTAACTACCACCTACGAAAATATGAAATAAATCAAAGTTATCACTGTTTCTTTCTAGAGTGACTGTTTTATTTAATCTTATTGTTCTATTGCTCTTTAAACTATGTCTTAACTACTAAACCTATGTAACAAAATGAGAATTTACATAGTGAATGCATAGTTCAAGCTATAGTAAAAAAAACAACAGTGAATTACATAACATAATAACAGTTTGTACGCATACCTCACCGAGAAATGTTATTATTTAATTTTCCTCTTAACTTAAGTTGTTTTTCCTAACCTAATAAGTTTTTCTAATTTTCATAAGGAAATTAATTTTATAATAATAATAATAAATAAAAAAATTTAAATGACTTTCTAACTAAGCTGTCTGTGCATTGAAATAATTCCTCTTCTATAAGTTGATCGGTTTGTTATATTTGTTCAAGTCATTTGGCTCAAAATGTCTTTTTTTGTACTAGAGGTGTTTGGTGGATAGCACATGTTGTGGAATAGGTTTAACCTACTTAGCTTTAATTTTTTAGTCATTGAGATGCCCCACATGGCCATCAGGTTTATTCAGAAATTTACTTACACGAGTAGTCTAGGCAGGTCACTTGATTGTTTTACTTACTTTAGTCATACAGCACTACTTTTACGTTTCATAAACTTTGTGTATTCAAAAATACCACAAACAAAATATGTTTCCTATGCAAAGCATGCGTTTTCTCTTGAGTTCAGTAAATTAAAATCTTCTCTTCTTATAGGTTGTAAATAGTGTAATGGTAAAAGTTAGAGAGAATTATCAAATTTTTTTGAAAGGCAGTATGTGATAAAAGGATGTGGCATATAGGTTTAACTTTCTGTTTTATGTCTCTGTAAATCAAGGTGATTGGAGGCTATAAAATTAGATTATATCTTGGCAATATCTATACTATAAATTTGTAATTTGTACTAAAACTTAGAAGCTGAAATAAAGTAAAGAAATCCAACACAAAAGTGGATTATAAACAATACTCTGATTATGTTCAAAATGCAATAAAGAAAAAAAATCATGCACTAGATCTTAACACTGTTGTGCCAAATCAAGAAATGAAGATTAAGTTCAACTGCATAGAGGGAGGACTGTTGCATGTTTAAATGTAGCTGAACTCATGGTGGAATTAGGTGGGAGTTTCAAGGCTAGTGGCAAGCAAAAATTTGTGCACTAGTGGGCAGTGAAATCAAGAATATCTATAACTGTGAGGGGAGGTAAGTAATAATATTGGAAATTCCTTCCACCCCGATTGTGAATCCTATTTCTCACTCAATTAGAAGTGGTCAGTCAATGTTTTTGAATTCAAAGTTTACTATTACGGCCACAACGGCTACCGATGGTACAGATCGTGACAACTACTACAGATGTGGTGTTATTGGTGGAGGAACTGTTGGCTGTAGTTCATCAGGAGATGGCTTCTTTCGTGTGGGTCAAGTGATCTCCCGATCTACAAGCAATTCTGCCATTACCTGAGGACTTAGATCAGTCATCATTTTATGTTCTTGATATCACAGGTATGTTGGGTTTTGTCTTTGTCACCCATGTCATTTGATTTCTCCCCTTCCTTATTAACTGCATCACCTAGTTCTCAGTTTTTGATTCCCCACCCCACCTTGTCTGATATTGGGGTCCATGCCAATTGTTTTGGAGATCATTTACATTTAGGCGTTAGTATCTCTGCCCATGAAAGAGAATTTGTCTTCACCCCTTTTTTCATTCCTTCCATATCCCATAGTTTCTCCCACTTTGATCTGAATTGTCTTCTTTGTCCTCTGTGCATTACAGTGTTCTGTGTCGCACACAGCACCCTTTCCTGGCTATCACTTCATTTCTCCTGAATCTTACCAATTTTTATGTTTTGTCTCACCAGGTCTATCACCTCCCAGTGTCCTCGGCTGCTCATTTTTGTTCTCCTTTTGAGGAGATTATCCAGAGTGGCATATGGACCACTCTTCACATTTTTGTGTCCCACTACTTGCACTGACTGATGGTTTCCTGCTCAACCAGATTTCATCTTCCTCCTGTAGCTGTTCTTTTTACGTTGGTACAACTCTGAGTGGGTAATTTGCTTTTATTTCTTTTTTTTTAAGGGGGTGAGTGGTGCCTGTCCAAGTATACTGATATCCAAAATCTGCATTGTGAGACCTATAAGGCCTATCATGCTCACTGTCGAGATGGGGTGTTCCACAAGACCATTTGCAGGTTCTTCCTCACAATATATTGTGTCATAAGTAAGTTTGTACTAACCTGTACACTCATGGACTGACATGAGTAAAGCAGAAAGAGATTGCTGTCCATCTCTTATGTTCTTTAGATTCCCAAAATCAGTAACGATTTGCTTTTGAAAATAGGGTTTTATGGTCACCCATTGCATCTTCTCTGGTGATGCGTTCCTCTGGACTCTTCAACATGTGTCTTCCCCCCATTCTTTCAGAGGAGTACAGGAGTCCTTACCGCTTCCCAGCTCCTAGCCACTTGGGTGGTTAATCATTGAGGAATCCTCATGAGAGTGCACATTTCCATTTAGTTGAGAGTAGGGAGGTGGCATTCTACCCATGTAGAAGGCATGATTGTTCTCCTGTCACAGGTCTAATATTTTATTCCAGGTGCTGTTGGTCTGGACAGGATTTTTCCATCAATTTTTCAGTTTTCCCCTCCATCTGGGAACCCTCCCTCCGAATGCCACCTGAATGTCGGTTCCTGGGTGACTGGTTTTGGTTGCAACTGGACTAACCAACATAAGTTTTCACATATGAGTGGGCTGGGAACTTCAGATTAGATTTTCCATCCACATTGCCAATTGGTTTTGGACTGGAATTGTCCTTCCACATTGCATTTCCAACTTCCTGATGTCATCTGGATGTACATTCCTGGGGTTTCTTGCTCCAGGTTGTGCTGTATTTGCACTCATGATGGTTTAGGTTCTTGGAATGGAGGCTTTTCTTCCCCTTCTGCTTCCTAGACCTGAGATGAATGGATGAGGATTCTCTTCCCACCATAGACCAGTTGAGTTCCACCCAGTGCTACTGGTCTGAACTAGAGTTAACTTCCCAATTTCTGTCTGATGCACCTTAGCTATTCTAAACACATTCCTTGTATTTAGGGATTTGGAATTGTTACCTTGTTCTGCCCTTGGATTTTAACACCACACCTGTTAGCTCTACACGGGCAAAGAGTATACATGGTTTAGATGTGGTGCAGTCTCTCACATGCGTGTTTCCTCTCAATAGAGAGAGGGCTCACTTCATGGCTGCTCTTCAGATGATTTTGAAAGGTGCTCATCTAGGTAATTTTGCACCATTCCTTCCATCTGCACAATGTGGGACTTTAGTTATAACTGGGAGAGGAGGTAAGGATTCATATGGGAAGTTAATATTTTTCTACACTGAAAATTTATTTCCGATAGATACCTCCTCTCACACTTCCCACCCATTTTCCACACTTCCGGTGTCGTTTGTAATGTTTAATCTCGAGGGGCTAGGTTCAACTGCGTAGAGGGATAACATCTGTGATAGGAGAGTTCGTCACACTCCTATTGGGGAAGGACTTTTGTATGCTTAAATGTAGCTGAGCCATGTGGTATACATGTGGTATTAGGTGAGAGTTTCAAGGCTAGTGGGAAGTAAAAACTTGCATGCTAGAGGGCAGTCAAATCAAGATTAGCTGTAACTGTGAGTGAAGGTAAGTATCTATTGGAAATATATTTTCATTGGAGGAAAATATTAACATTTAGATTGACAATTCAGATCAAACGTATGATATAGAGATGTAAAGATTGAGAAGTTATTTAAAAATGTATTTTTGAAATTAAGAAACTAAAACTTGTATAATATTAAAAGTTGTTGTTTTAACTTTTTTTTTATTCCATAGATTGATAATAAAGTTATTTATTTGAATTTTTAACGTAAGTCTGTAAAATGTTGTGAGAGGTGCACTTTGCCCCCCAGCCATACACGTAGGGTTAAGTGGTCTTTTTCTTATCTTTTTACCTCAAGGAATTTAACCTGATGATAAGCATGATTTCACACATTAAGCCAAATAATTAAACTCTTTAACTAGTTTGACTGCCGAAAAGCACGATTCACACATTGAGCCAGATAATTTTCAACTAGTTTTACCTCATGACAAACTTCGTTTCACACATTATGCCATTTATTTGAATTTCTCAACTAACATTTGTCCTAATGATATATGGATTATCACCAATATCAAGACTAATATTTTTGTTATTCTACCAACTAGTTGTTGTAGTAATATGGATGATACAAGAGTGACTATTTCATTATCTTTTTTTTATTATTATTATTGTAGTTAGTGTTTGAACTGATGACAAGAATGAGGCGGGAGCTCTCTGATAACGAACCTCAAATAACTCCTCAGATTGACAGCTTAGTTTTGCTTGACCGGTCAGTTGATTTATTGTCACCACTTGCAACTCAGCTCACTTATGAAGGACTTCTCGATGAACTGTATGGAATTCACAATAGTAAGTGTTACAAAAGACTTCTTGATGAACTGTATGGAATTAACAATAGTAAGTGTTATGAAAGACTTGATGAACTGTATGGAATTCACAATAGTAAGTGTTACGATAGACTTCTCAATGAACTGTATGGAATTCGTAATAGTAAGTGTTACAATAGACTTCTTGATGAACTATATGGAATTCACAATAGTAAGTGTTATGAAAGACTTCTTGATGAACTGTATAGAATTCACAATAGTTAAGTGTTACGAAAGACTTCTTGATGAACTGTATAGACTTCACAGTAGTAAGTGTTACGAAAGACTTCTCAATGAACTGTATGGAATTCACAATAGTAAGTGCTACGAAATACTTCTTGATGAACTGTATGGAATTCACAGTAGTAAGTGTTATGAAAGACTTCTCAATGAACTGTATGGAATTCACAGTAGTAAGTGTTATGAAAGACTTCTTGATGAACTGTATAGAATTCACAATAGTAAGTGTTACAAAAGACTTCTCAATGAACTGTATGGAATTCAAAATAGTAAGTGTGTAAGCAGTTAATTCAGTATTGTGAGTGTCAGTAGCATAAGGGTTGACAGACTTTCATTGTAAAACTATCCCCTCATCCGAGATATATCACAATTTCGATTTCTAAATTCTCCCTACATTGTGACTCCAACTGGAATGTAAATGTTAATATTTCTTTTGGGTGAATTGGGTGTGTGTGTGCACATCATCTCCCTGAAGCTCATAGCATCTTTTCTTTTATTTCAAGCTTTTGGCTTTTATCATTTTGGATGTTCTCAAGAGCCCAAAAAATATTGTGATATCCTTCAAAGATGGCATATGACAGCCTCTGTATCAGCACTCCAGTGAATCCCAAACAGTAAACTTTGTTACTTTACAGCTTTTTTCTATGAGAATTTACCAACGTTACATTAAATCCCAGAAAATGTTGTACAGTTCTTGAACAAATCCAAAAAATGAGACAGATCCAATGCAGCAATCCACAGCTGATTGACCAACAAAGTTTAGGGAGCGTGTGGTGAAAGGGATACAGTTTACAATCTTTTATGAATTATTCATGAAACACTCAGTAGTATTCTGAAAATATACATGTAATTGTTTTAGTTTTATTGAAAACCTTTGTGAATATTTTTTTCATGAAGCTAGAAAAATGCTTTTAAATTTAATATTAGTTGGAGTATCTACACTAATATGTACATTTAGACATATAGGTGCCAGGACAGATTGGAATTGCAAACACTTAATAGCCCTGTATTTTTATTTTAGGCAGCCCATTCTGCCCAACCGATGTAGGCCTTGCTTATCAAAAAAAAGAAGTAAAAAAACCCAGTAGAAATAATAGAACATGTTCGAACTACCGCTATAAGCAGTAGTTCTATTTATCATAAAGTCATAGTAACATCAGTAACCATTAGGCCTTTGTTAATTACAGATTATGATAGACACAAGTGAAGTTTATTTTAAGTTAATAACTGCGTTAGTACAGAATAATCAAAAGGTTAAAATATTGCAATTATGATCAGGTTTACATGAGTGAATGCTATTATGACATTTTTGTCAATTTACATTAGAATTAATATTTATTTTTTCCGGGCCAGCAATGGTAAATAGATGTATGATTTAGTTAAAATTGATCCATAATGCAATTTAAATGAATAAAAGTGACTTTTTAGACTAATTAGGTCTAGATGCCAAGCGCGGTAGTAAGTAAAGTGTGTGAATTTTTCACTGTGAATTATAGTGTGTGTTGAAGTTAAAGTGACTGTGGAAATTAAGTGTATTGCAAAGTTGTATTGAGAAAGAATAAACTAGTTTTATTTAAGAAAGGACTTGTATCGCTGAAGTTCTTCGGAAATAATTTCTACAGAAAATTAACAAATGAACACAGAGACGTAACAGTATATAACTCTCTTACTTTGTAATATACAAATGGTGAGTATTACATTTCATTTTTTTTTTTACTTAGATTTTAAAAAATATGTGTTTTTG